CACCCAAGACAGGAAGCCCTCTTGGCTTGCCAGCCTGACCCTGGAGCCTTACAGTGGCCTCACAGCCGGTCCCACCCCTGGACCACCTGCACTCAGCTCCAGCTCTCAGATGAGCCTGGGATCATTCCCAGAATGCACCTGCATAAAGAAGTAAAGACTCCCTGAACCACAGCTCATCAGGGTAGGGCCAGAAATGAGCTCATACCTAAAGGAATCCAAAGCCTGGGGTTTCTTCACCCAGCACAGATCTCTCTGGAACATGGGGGTGTATGTCCCAAGAACAGAGGGCCCACAGGTTGGGATGGGCTTGTAAATGGTGGGCAATTAGCCCGCCAGAGTTCAGGGCAGAGTCAAGGTTACATTGACCACCCCACTCCGGGGAAACAGCAGATGCTTCTCCCAGGGATTCATTTCCTGGGGCTGCTATAACAAATTATCCCTAATGTAGGGATTTCAGACAACATAATTGTTTTAGTGACATTGCTTCAGAGGTGAGAAGTGTGACCTCATTCTTACTAAACTAGAGGCAAAGTGTCACAAGGCTGGTTCCCAGGGAAGCTCCAGAAGAGGCTCAGAACTTATGTTCCCCCAGCTTGGAGGTCACCCTCATCCCTTGGCCTTGGCTGTCATCTGATTCCCTTGGGCTCTGCCTCCTCCTATAAGGATCCTTGGGAGTCCATTGGGCTCACAAGAACCTGGTGCCCATCATCCCCTCCCCACGCCTGCTCCCCAGCATAGGTGATGGCCCAGGTCCCTACCTGTGCTCACAGCAATGAGCACAGGTAGGGACCTGGGCCATCACCTATGCTGACAAGGACACCACAGAGCCTCATTGATACCCTGGTCAGAAGAGGAAGAAGAGGCCTAGTACTCGGTAGCTATGGCAACATTACTTTGCTTCTCTGGGCCTCCCTTTCTTAGTCTGTAAGAATGACGACAGTCACTACTGCTATTTCATAAGGCTGCTGCAGAAAGTAAGGAGCTGAAATGTGTAAGGCAGGTAACACAGCACACGCTAACGTGCAGGGGGAGAGGGCTGCGGCCCCTATCAAGACACAATGTCTGTGCCTTGTAGTGATATGAGCCCAAAGTTTACTGTTCGAGGGAGCAAGGAACAAAGAACAGAGCCTAAGGAAACTGGCTCCTTGTAATTCCAGCAAGCTGGAGACAAGGTGGTAACAGATTCCTGGAGGCAGCACCTGCCCCATCTGTTCTTTGTTCTTTTACCTGGGAAGTCACCAACCAGGGATATGTAAACTAGCCGGCAAATGCCAGAAGACAATATAGATAGCAGTTTGTTTATGCCAAATTATTTATGCACATTCCTTAGCTGGTTTGTGGCCCTCAATAAATGTGAGGAGTTTCCCTAGCTCAGGGCTCACTTAGAGAGAGACTAAGTTCAGTGAGACCACTGTGGCCGATTTCATCCAGCCTTGCTGTCCTTCTTTTCGGGAGCTCCAATTATTCTTTTTTTTTTTTTTCAATTTATTATTCTATAACAGCGTCTTCTCTAAATTCTCAGAGCAGCCCCATCCAATGGGTAGAGGTTCTCTCCACTTCACAGATGAATAGACTAAGGCCCAGAAACTCTAGAAATCTCATCCCCTCCTTGTCATTTCAAAGCCAAAGCCCAAATCCAGGCTGCCCAACCACAGGATCCAGGTGATTCCCATCATTTAACTCCTCAGGGCCTCAGTTTCCTGATCTGCAAAAAGGGACCACTTAGACACACCTTCAGCACATGTACGGTACAGACTACAAGAGGTTAGATTTCATAGAACCCAGATACTAACCAGACAGGAAGCTGACACTGTGGTCGTGTGGTAAAGGAAGAATTTGAGGCCCTGGGAAGTAACACTGCCCGTTCTAGTTCACAGAGCAAGTCTGTGGAATGAAAATCCAGCTCTGATCCCAAAGCCTAAGATTGGTAATGAAATGATCGTTTTGCTGAAATTAAGCAAATATGAGAAAACAGGGCTCTGGCATTCCAGGTGTACTCCAGCCTGTGAGAAGACACCCATCCGAGGACAAATCTGCCATGAGTACCAATGACACTTTCATGGCACTAGAGAAGGGGCCTTTCTTGGTGTCATCAGGGCACTGCGTGCCTCAGGCATGCAGGTTGGTTCAGCCTCCCTTGCCTCCCCAAGGCCCCTGTTCAGTGTGCAGCCTATGTGACACAATGGCAGCTCTGCCTAGAATGTCCCCAAACTCCTTTTCCTCAAGGATCCTTACAGTCATGGTGAGCACCACTCTGGATTGCTCCCGGTGAGTGCAAGGCCAGAAAAGGAGTCAGACTTCTCTGCAAACAGAAAGGCAGGTGTTTCCCTGCAAGCTCGTGCGAACAGTCCTATCTGGGCTCACTAGCTATCCAAGATCACTCCCACATTCCATCCGTGGAAAACTCGGAGGCCTGGCCACCTCCCATCTTCCTGAGCCTCGGGTGGAGCCCCAGTGGCACCAGTCACTGCATCCCCAGAACTGTTCCTCCAGGACCTGCTCTACACTCGACAGTAGCCAGTGACTTCTAGAACATCAGACTAGGACTATATCTATCCTAGAGATGTCACCAAGCCAGAAAACCAGACCCAGCAAGGAGCAAGGCCTGGGCTCACCACCATGCAGCACATGGTCTTTCTGACCTTCTTTCCTAATCTATTACCCGAAGCTTAGGAGTCTATACATGTAGTACAGTCTGCATTGGTGGCCCAGAAGCTCAGAGGTGACCAGGGGACATGGCATGGGGCAGAGGCTGCGGATGCTTGCCTTGGAGTGGCATTTTTGCACAAAGAGAACATTTTTAAGTTAAACCACCAGCCTCTGGGGGCAGCACAGTTTGGGGCAAGGTAAGAGTGGCCTCACTGCATCTTGCGTATATATAGCAAGCCCGCTGTCGGCGAAAAACAGAGCCATGTTCTCTGAAGTACTTCCGCTCACTCTTTAGGAGAGAAGCATGGCAGTTCTTAACACTGCCCGGAATATAACAATGACAGTTCAATAATAAGCATGACATTGACCAACAGAGAACTGGAAGGAGGCTCAACCTCCCCTGCCCCTGCAGAAGGACAGCCTGCTGGGCAGAGGCTTGCTGGATCAGCCACTACAAAGCAGTGACATCTAGGGCCCCCACAGAGGGGGCCTATGATTTGTGACCAAGGGACACACTGCAGTTAGAAATAGAAGTGGACAGCAGTGACAAGTCGGCTCTGTGCAGTGGCTCTGGAACAGCTGCGTGGCCTTGGGCAAGTCACCCAACCATGCTGAGTTTTTTCCTAACTTGCCAATGGGGCACTCAAATAGCAGTTGTCTCCCAGGCCGTGGGAGCCATTACACAGGACAGGGAGTGAGAAGCCACCATGGTGCCAGCAAGCGCCAGGCCCTGAAGAGGATGCGTTCTCATCAGGCTGAGGGCCACCGCAGGGAGCCCCGCATTCACCGCAGTCTTCCCTGCCCGTGCACACCTCCGAGACAAGTGCAGAGGACTAGCCCAAGTCCAACACTGCCGTCTGCCACTGGAAATCTTACTCTTCTTTCCAGAGAGTCCCTTAGAGACTGAGCCTCCAGCCCCCTCACACAAGAGCCTGCTCCTGAGCTCAGGATCTTGCCAGAGCAAGGAGCAGGGAGCAGCTGTGAACTCCAGGGGCAGAAACCCCATGCCCTGCGTGTCTCTCTCCCTGCGTCCCACGCTCCAGCCCAGGCGCTTCCTCCCGCCTCCTTTCTGCCAAGAGGCTGCAACAAGCCTTAATCCACACATGCCTCGCATCTGTCCCAGAAGACCACCCCTTGCTAAAGAAAGTGAAAATGAGGCCCAAAGAGGAGAGGTTGCTCAAGAACCCTGGTCATTGAGCCACCTGGGGTGGGCTGTTTCTGAAAAAGTGGCCAGTTCTATGACCATACCACCCTGAAAGTGCCCAATATCGTCTGAAAAAGTGACCTAATCCTTTTTCTATCATTTATTTTTTTTCTGCCAAATCAAGAAAGTCTGATAGCTTAGATAATTCCTCGCCACAGAAATCACTGCGTCCTAGTCCCAATCACCTTGGTGTCACCTGTTATCCCCTCCTCCCTCCAGGTCCCCAAGGAAGCCAAGTCCTCCTGAAGCTCCCCGTGGTCTCCGCAGACCAGGGCAGAGCAGCACATAGGTGAACAACACCCTTGCTACACTTGTATCTGATGGTGGTGAAGCAACTTCTCAGGTTGGAGATGTCTTCTGAGCCTGGTGCCCTCCCACCAAACAACACTTGGCGCAGGTGAGGCGCCCGTGGGGACCTCCAACACCATCTCCTTCCAGCCCTCATGCCCCCCCCACTCCAACTCCCCCGTGTTGATTTTGACGGACTTCTGAACCCGCAGTCAGCTCGTGGCTTTTGATCTTTAGAGATGCTTGCTTTGGAAGCCTGGAAAGAGCCAGCGCTCTGGATTCTGACAAGCCGGGGTCTCCTCCTCCCCATGGCCTCGCTGTGTGACTGATTCTGCGACTGTCACTTCTCTCCGAGCCTTGGTTTTCAGCTCTGGAGAATGGGGCCAGATCGTCTTTGCTCTGGGGGTCATGAAAAGGCTCTTAAAAGGTAAGGCATGCGAGGTGCAGCCTCAGCCAACGCAAGGGCACATTAAACCTGGCTCTCACAGCCCCTAAGGACCTGCGGTGAAGCAGGCCAGCTCCTGTGGTCCAGGCTTAGTTCTTCACCCCTGTGGCTGGATGCCATCATTTCCTCCATTCTCACTTAGGATAAATGTTACTCTCTTCAGGTCATACCGCTCATAGACTCGCTGACCCTAGAGGGAAAGGTGCCGCACGGCGCTAAATACACAGTTACAGCTCAAAAAATCAGTCATCTCGTAGATGTGGGAAGACCTAGAAGGACAGGTGGGGCACGGAGGAGCGAGGCCGCAGGAAAAAGAGCCTGGCTACCCCAGAAGCAGGTTAAAGGGGAGAGAGCTCACGGTCCCGTGAGCCTGCTGAGCGGAGGGAAGGGTCGGCCCGGCGGGGGAGGCGGTACCTTGGGCGGCAGGGCGAAGACCACCGGCAGCAGAGCCAGCGGCGCCAGCAGCAGCACTAGCAGGCGCCGCGCGCTCCACACCTTCTTGGCCAGCGCCGCTAGCGCTGCCATCGGCGCGATCGCCGGCGCGGGGCACCGGGGACTGCCCCGTCCCGGCCGGCGCTGGCTTAAAGCCCGGGGAAGGCCGGGGAGGGCCGGGGAGGGGACTGCGCGCTCAGGCCCGCCCTTCTCCACTCCTCCCCGGGACAAGGAGGCAGGCGGTCTCCTCCGGGGACCGCGGTGGGAAAATTAGGCACAAGTCTAGGGCGTAGCGACCCAGCCCGCAGGGAGCGCGGCCTTGGGTTAAGCATCGCGGCTTCCCGCTGGGTGTCCCGGGACAGTTGGCTTAACCTTTCCTCGCTCGGCCCTATTTACTCGCTTGTGAAATGGGGCGATAAAGATCATGTGGGATTAAGGAGTTTATTAGTATTAGGAGTTCAAATCCTAGCTCTGCCACTTACTGCGTGGCCCTGAACAACCAATGGAACTATGAGCCTCAGTGTGTTCATCATGAAAGTGGGAGAGGTTTTAATATTGGTCTGTTCCAGACGGAACTAAATCGGGGAGGTTAAATAAGATACCGCACACAGCACAGGACCTAGCAAAGCCAGGGTGAGCGTGGTGAGCGTGGTTACTGCCCTTGATCCCGTCATTCTAATTTTCCCCCAAGAGTGCGCAGCACATGCAGGCTGGAGCATGGCAGAACCCTTTCTATCCCTGGATGAACAGCCATCACACGTTTAGTTTTTTAAAAAAAAACTGTAACACTGTCTCCTAAAGTGTCTCCGTTTTACCTTGCCATCAGCAATGCGTAAATAACCCAGCTCCTCTGTGCCCATGCCGTGCCAAGTGACCAATAGTTCTTAGTTGAGCTATTCTGACCAGGATGTGATGTCTCACTGGTTTTAACTTATATTTTCCTGATGGCTTATGATGTTTAACATCTTTTTTTCCCTGCATTTGCCATTTGTATATTATCTTCTTTTTTTAATGTATTTGGTACATGGACTCACTATATAGCTTGGACTCATAGTGATCCTCCTGTTTTCAGCCTCTCCAGCACTAGGATTACAGGCATGCGCCACCACTCCCAGTGTCCGTGGCCGGCTCAGCTCGCCCAGGGGAAGGGCTGGCACAGCATGTGATGCTGGGGATCGAACCCCCAGTCCCTGTGCTTGCCTAAGCAGGCGCTTAGTCTGCTGAGCTATCTCGCCAGCCCTGAATATCATCTTGAGTGGACTCCCCTGCTGTCTTTTGCCTGCCTTCTAATTGTTTTATCTGGCATTCTTTGCAGACTGCCTCGTATACTGTAGACACCCAGCAGTCCTTTGTCAGCTACATTCCTCACAAATAGTTCTCTCTATAATCTGTCGCTTGTCTTTTCCTCTCTTCGCAGAGAAAACATGTTAATTCTGACATGCTCTTAATGAAATGCTCCTTTGGCCACGCCTTTGGTATCAGACTCTCACACAGCCTTACACACCAAAGTTTTTCACATTTTTTCTAGAACTTTTATAACTCTGTAACTACTACCTGTTCAATAATAACATCCCAGCTATCCTGTCTCCCAGCCTGTGACAGCCTCATTCTACTTCCTGAATCTGTGGACTTGACTGATCCAGGTACCTTATTATAACAATCTTTGTCATTGGGTGACTAGCTTGTCTTCAAGGTTCATCCATGTTGTATCTGTATGAGGATTTCTTTCCTTCAAGGCTGAGTAGTATTCCATTGTTTGTGTAGACCATATTTTCTTCATCCGTTCATTTGCTGACAGACATTAGGTAGTTTTCACCTTTTGGCAACTGTGGACAACGCTGCTAGGAACATGGGTGTATGACTATGTCTGAATCTCTGGCTACTAGAGGTAGAACAGGTGGATCATATTATAATTCAGTGCTTAAAATTTATTTGCACATATTTATGTAGGTATTTAGGAAAGGCCATGTCATTTTCCACAGACACTGCACCATTTTACATTCCTACCAATAGTGCACAAGGATTCCAACATCACCACATCCTCACCAACATTTGTTTTTGCTTTTCATAATTACCCTACTAAAGGCAATTTTGAGGGATACAGGGGATTCCTATGTAATTCAGACTTATAGTGATCCTCCTGTCTCAGCCTCCCCAACACTGGGATTACAGGCCTGGTTTTGGGGCCAGCTCAGCATGCCTGGGGTTCCAAGACCAGCGCAGTGTGCAGTACTGGAAATCGAACTCAGGACCTTGTGCTTGCCAGGCAGGCACTTAGACCACCGAGTTATCTCCCTAGCCCCTCATTGTAATTTTGGGTTTTTTTGTTTTGTTTTGTTTTTTGCGGAACCGGGGATTGAACTCAGATCCTTGTGTTTGCCAGTCAAGTGCTTATCCTACTGAGCCATCTCCCCGGCCCCCCTCATTGTAATTTTGATGTGTATTTCTCTAATAGTTGTTGATCCTGAACATCTTCTCATGTGCTTATTGGCCATCTGTGTGGTTTCTTTTTTGGAGAAAAGTCCTTTGCAGCATCGGTATTGTTTTTGTGCTTTGCATGGCATCTATAGCTTAGCAAGTCTATACCTTAGCATGTACACATACTTATAGCCTACTGCTATTGTCATTTTATCAGTTTCAGTGAAATGCTGAAATTTATCTTTATGTCCCTTTACCTTATCTTACTTATATCATGATTTTCAATATTTCCTCAGCATACATTTGGAAACATGTCTGACAATTTTTGTTTCAATTGTCAGACAGAAGTTAGAACACTCAAAATACTCTTATGCCTGGTATTAATAGAGCTATACTAGAAGGCTTAACATTTGTATGAGATAACTTTTTCCATTTTCCTTTCAACTATCAACTTGTCTGTGCTTCTATGTTTATGTTTTTTTGTATACGTGTACTGACGAGTTTTATTTAATCTAGTTTAACATTGTCTGATTTTTATTCGGGGTGTTTATTCCATTTACATTTAATGGATTTTTTTTTCAGAACCAAAAAAAAAAAAGGGGATTGAACTCAGGCCCTTGCGCTTGCCAGGCAAGCACTTATTCTATTTACCTGGTTGGATTTAAGTGTCTCAGTTTGCTATTTGTTTTCTATTTAATCTATTTGTTCTGTGTTTTGCCATTCTGTTCCTTCTCTCTTGCTAGCTGAATGTATAGCTGTTTTTTCATTGATGGTATTGACTTCAAGGCCTTCACAGAAAGCTACATCCTTGGCCCTTTTAAATTTTATTTTATTTTTATTTTGTGACAGGATCTCACAAAGTCTCTAAGTTGCCAAGGCTGGGCTCAAAATTTTGTTCCTCCTGCCTCAGCCTCTCAGAGGACTATGATTACAGATATGTTCCTCCAGCACAGGCTTTAGTACTCTACTTACCTTTTGTGTTAATTTTAGCCACTTAACAGTGTATGTCTCTCAGGCAGTGTATTTGTTTGCATATTGATTATCCCAGTGTTACTCTGGAAGGTAATATTTCATCCAGTTGATTCTTACACTGAACAAATTTGATACAATTATTGTTTTTATATTTCCTGCTATATTATCTTATTTAAAAAATTAACCAAAAATGCAATTTTGTCACTCTCTAAATAATTGGACTGGTAAGTAGTGAAGTTATTCTTCTGTGTTATTTTAGTTATTACTCTAGAGATTATGATGTGCACCCTTATCACAGCCTACTTCAAATGATAATGTGTATCACAAAACCCTACAAAAGCAGCATTCCATGTCTTGTCTCCTTCTACCCTTAGTATTCTTACAGTCTTTTTAAATTTATGTATTCTATAAAGGGTAGAATACATATGAGGGTGGGATGATGTGGTGGGATTCAATACATATGATGGTAAAATGAAGCTGATTTCTGCTATGAGAGATGATTGTTGAGTTTGCAGGAAATTTGTGAGCCAGCCATAGAGCTGATGGTGGCTTGGAATCACCCATCATGAAACTATTTGTACCACAGGAATAATACAAGGCAAAAAAATAAGGGCTTTCCTCAGACAGCCAGTTGTTAAACATTTATTTTAAAACCTCACTGTATACATTTCATACTTCATTGTTACAACTTTTAAATAGTCAATAATCTCTTACAGATAGGTATAAATATACATAAATAAAAACTAAAGGTTCATGTGAAGTAGTTTTTAATATTTCCCCAGATATTTTATCCTATCTCTTTGGTCCTTCGTGCAGATCTGGTATCATTTCTCTTGTCATTTCTTATAGTGATCTGTGGGAAAAAAA